CTCGCACCGATGGAGAGCACCTTCACAAGCTGGAGCGGTGCAGATAGTAATTAACAGGCTGATTGAATTGCATACAAATGTCTCCTGCGACTGAGCCAGATAAAGACCCTTCAGTGCCTCACACTGCAGCCGGACCCCATCGCCAGGGGCTGCCCTGCCTGGGGGCTGTCCCACCCCTGCTGATGGCTTAGCAGCAGTTTCTCCATCTCTTAGACAGAATTGTGGTAGTTTGCTTTAGCTCACCACAAGCAAACTTTATCTCCCTAAAACAAAGAGGTTGCAGCTGACCCCAGAGGAGGAGGGGGTCTCTGTGTCACTCTCTCACTGCTGAGCAAAGCAAGAAGTAAAGCAAATAAAAGGACACGGGCACGGCTGTTTGTCGCTGCCCGTAGCCGAGGTATTCCCGACCAACCCCTCTGCTTATGCCCCCCAGGAGGACACATGGCAAACAGCCCGGCCTTCGGAGAGCTCTTACCCTGTCCTGACCCCTCAGCCCTGCAAATAGGGTTGGGCAAGGACTCCTGCAGCCTGGGGCCCCAAAGCCAGGAACAAGTTGTTTCCAGCCGCAGCTCAGACTTATGCACATGCTTAGCTCCACAGACATGCAAGGACCAGATTCAGTTGTTAAAGGCTGCTTTTCACAATCGGTGCAAACCGAAGCGGCCACATTGCAGGATGCTCTCAGAGTGAGCCTGGGAGTACAGAGATTGGAGGCGGAGGATGATAAGAGCTGCTGGCTCAAAAACACTTAAATAATGAACGAAAAGAGAGGTCTGAGATGCCCTTTTAAAGGAATAGTCAGGCAGGGGTGAGACCTGCTGAGTAATGTATAAAAAACAAGCTTCAGGCAGAGGAGAGATGTTAGGATTAGTCAGAACCTAGAATAAACTGTGTTTTTTCCAAGCAAAACTCTGGTGTTGGCCTCTTCAAAACAAATTGTGCAGAGAGCAGCAGGTTGGCCTGGCCGCTCCGTTGACACAAGGAAAGGCCTCTGGGACCCGGCAGCAAGAGGAGCTGCAGCCACAGGAGTGGGGAGATGCTGCCCATCTCCCTACAAGCCTTTCCAGCCCCCAGGCACTGCAAGGGCACTACATTTCCCCATCGCTGCTGGCTGGGGAGCAGTATGATACAGGCAGCTCAGGAATACACTCAGAGGTAAGAGGCTTCAGAAACGTCTGGGAGCTGCAGCCAGGCAAACAAGAAAGAGGGTGCACTGGGGCCTCTAGAGGTGAGGGGACAAGCAGGAACATGCCATGGGACAAGGAGCTGCCTACGCTCAACGCGGCCCTGGGGACTGGCTCTCCCCGAGGGGAAAGCAGAAGCTCACTGTGGTCTCTATGCCATGAGCTAAGAGGTGCCACCCTGCAAGCAGTGGCCACAGAAAGGCTCAGGGGAGGGAAACGGGTGCTTGCGCGGGCTCCTGGTGGGATTGTGCTGTAGTGATGGAGCAAAGAGGATTGGTCTGGCCCTAGGGGGCCTGACGCAGGCCAAGCTTTGAAAGCCAATGTTTTGTTCATCCTCGCAAACATCCACCTCCTTAAGCAGTGCGAGAGCCTGAGCAGAGCTCCAGGAAGTCCCCCCAGGTCATGCTTTCCTGTTTGCAGAGCTGGAGCCACTAGCTCAGATCTGGGGGGATCCAAAGCCCACGTCTTCCCTCGCCTCTCTGCAGTCCTTTGTCTCCACTAAACCTCAGCCTCCAGGACAGCAAAAATTATGACTAATTGCAGTCACTGTGGTGGGAAACCTGCTCACTCAGCACTCCAGTGCTCATTATAGCTCTCCCACCAGCATGCCCTCCCCACCACCCTGTGCAGAGACAGGCGCAGTCTACAGGGTTACCACCAAGAGCTGGGTGGCTCCTTCAGACCTGAATACCTTGGGAGAAGGTTTGGGAGAACTTACAGAGACTGAAAGCTCTCTGCATCCCAGAAGGCCATGCTCTCCCTGTCCTGTACATTATCACCCTTTCCTGAAGCTAAGCTCCAAAACATCTCAGATTCAATAGTCCACCCACAGAAGGGAAGGAGGAGGAAAAAAAACAAAAAAAGAAGATTAGCAGATTAGATATGTTTCTAGTAAAAGGGACCACACATAGCAGTTATGACTGGACCCTTGAAAACAGAGGAGGGAGAAGGGCTGGATAAAAGACCCTCACCTGGCAGGGTACAGGCAAGGAGAGGAAAGGATGTGCAGGAACAGAAGGAATGAACTGGTGGATTAGGCACCCATCAGCCTAGAGCAGACTCTGCTTTTCTGAATGCTTTCAGCCACATTGCACAACACAGACATATCTTTGCAGGGATGTTAGGAGGCAAAAACGCAGATTCTTTATGGGAGAAACATCCTGGCAGAGTTGGGAGGAGGAAGAC